CTAATGCACCTTCACTATGTCAGAGTTTTGAGGTTTTTAAGTCTTTGTATGGCAAGGCATGATTGTCAGTTTCTCCTATTGTTAGCCTCGTAGCATTCTCGCATCTACTCCTTCTGAACGTTCTTTTTTTTTTTTTTTTAAGCCCAGAACAATCGAGCAACAAGGAAAGCTTGCTAGTCTGTTCCTCAGTTACATTTTTAAAAATTTCCTTAATTTGAGCTTGAAATGCATGAAACTCAATTTCATTGTTTTGCTACAAAATAAACAAAATGATAACTTGCTTCAGATTGTAGATAAATTAGCTGTATGGCAGTTTTAGCAGGTGTATAGTTTTAACATAAAAGCTAGAGGTAGATACAAAATATTCTTCATTAAAGTAGGCTCAGCACTACAATTAAAAAGACAAACAATAACAAGTCTTGGCAAGGATGTGGTGGCATTGGAAAGAACCCTCATATATTACTGGTAAGAACATACAGTGGTAGAGACACTGTGGGAAACAGTTTGGTGGCTCCTCAAAAAGTTAAGCATAGAATTATCATATGATCCAACAAACCTACTACTAGATATTTGCCCAAGAGAAATGAAAACATGTCCACACAGAAACTCAAAAATGAATGTTCATAGCAGTCTTATTAATAATAGCCAAAAACTGGAAACAAGCCGAATGTCCATCAGCAGATAAATGGGCAACAATTGAATAATTGAATATTATTCGGCAATAAAAAGCATGAAGTACTGATACATGCTACTACATGAATGAAACCTCAAAAACATCATTCTGTGTGAAAGAATTCAGACACAAAAGGCCACATATTGTATGGTCCTGCTTATGTGAAATGTCCAGAATAGGCAAATTCCAAGAGACAGATAGTAGATAGTTGGTTTGCAAGAGCTAGGGGGAGGGGAAAACACAGAGTGACTGCTGAGGGGTATGGGCTTTCTTTCAGGTGAGATGAAAATGCTTTAACATTGGGTAATGGTGACAATTGTACAACTCTGTGAATACATTGGGTTGGCCAGAAGGTTCACTTGGCTTTTTATCATAAGATGGCTCTAGTAGTAGTGCTTAGTTGTCTTTAACTTCGCTCAAAACAATTTTGTCAGGTTGTGTCGTGACAGCTGTCACATCAGAATGCATTTTTTTAAAACCTTATCAAAATTGGTAAATTTTTGTGTAGCCACTTCAATATTGAAGATGGAAGAAAATATGCAACATTTTTGGCTTATTGTGCTTTATTATTTCAAGAAAGGTAAAAACACAACTGAAACACAAGAAGATTTGTGCAGTGTAACCAGAAGGTGCTGTGACTGATAGAACATGTCAAAAGTGGTTTGTGAAATTTCATGCTGGAGATTTCTCACTGGATGCTACTCCATGGCCAGGTAGATCAGTTGAAGTTGATAGCGATCAAATCGAGACATTAATTGAGAACAGTCACTGTTGTACCATGTGGGAGATAGCCAACATACTCAAAATAGTCAAATCAATACAGTTATTGGTGAAAGTGAAAAATGTGTTTTATATTTTACAGAAAAAAATAACTAAATGAACTTTTTGGCCCACCCAACCCAGTACTAAAACTATTTAATTGTATACTTAAAGGGGGTGAATTTTACGATATGTGAATCACGAGGTCTATCTAGAAGATATTCAGCCATGTAATATGAAAAATAGACATTTATGAAGAAGATACAAGAAACATTGTACATAGGACAATGATGCCTCAGTCCCCTTCAAAGTAGGCACCTTGGGACCTCACACAGTTCTCCCAATCATCATCAGCTGCCCTGTTGTATTTTCCTGAATCTCCTCTACGGTCTGAAATCTCTTTCCTTTCAAAGGTGATTTTAGGTTAGGGAAAAGCCAAAAGTCACAGGACACCAAATTTGGGCTGTAGGGGGCTGAGTCACCTCGCTGATTTGATATTTCACCAAAAAAAACTGCACGAGACGTGATACACGAGCAGGTGCATTGTCATGATGAAGCTGCCCATCACCAGTTGCCCATAGCTGTGGCCTTCTGAATTATCCAGATAGTTTCTGTGGAGGAATGTTCAAGTTTAACACAAAATTTGATGTAGATTCATTGCTCTTCTCGCTCAGTCATTTCGAATGGTAGGGCCACACAGTACACGTGCTCACTCAGTGGCGTGCAGTGCCCCCACTGATTAGTACAGTGAAGTCGTCATTGTTCATGCATGCACATTCCAGTCCACTCTTCATGGCTGCCAGGGTACATCGATGTCATGCAAACTGATCTTGTTATATTAACAGTGGCTAGTCTTTTTCCAGACAGACAATTATATATCTTAATAAAGCTGTTGTATATTTAAAATGTTATAATTACTTGAAATTATAAAAGCATATATAAATTAAATTTTTGCCAGGGGCTTGGAGGAAAGGGCAGTAGGGAGTTAGTATTTAATGGGTATTGTGTTATTTCGTTTGGTCAAGAAGAAAAGTTCTGGAGATAGACGGTGGTGATTGTTGCACAACAGTGTGAATGTTCTTAATCTCACATCACTGTCCACATAAAAATGGTTGAAGTGGAAAATTTTATATTTTATTTTACTGCAATAAATCCATAACCCTCCAAATTACATTTAAATTATTCTAATATGTAAGGCTTTTTTTCTTTTTAACAGGAAAACTGAAAGTGTGATTGGCCTCTTGATTTTTATGCATGAGATTGGTCTGGTCTGTGTTGTTGAACGTCTCTCTAGTATGTTTAGTATGTGTTGGTGGGAAAGGTGGAGTTTATGCACACACATATGTCTTTATCTTGGCTTTGAATGAGAACTTGAAAGTACTTTTTAAAACTTTCTTTGCCAATAAGAAATAAAAAGAAGCCAGACCATAGGAGATTTATGTCGTTAAATTATAAAATAGTGAAATGCTATTCTCAGATTATGAATTATTACAGATTTCCTGATTTTCTTGGTTAATCTTGGCTCCTTGATTGGGAAAAACCATTTATACTTTATATAGAACACCTCTTTATCTTTCTGTGAGCATTTTCCTTTGCATAACAGAACTACCACCAAAATGCATTGAAAATACAAACATAGGTATATATTAATATAATACAGTGGAAGAGTTTCAGAATGCAAAGGAACTGATGGAAAATAAAAAGAAAAGAAAAATCCAGCAATAAGAAAGCCACTGAAAAAGGAATTAAATTATTTTGAAAGGTGACGAAACCTTATGACCCCAAACAGTTTGTAGGCTATAAATTTGTAACCTCTAATGATTAATCTGTGAAAACATACCTAAGTCTAGCTGCTCTACAAGATCTATTCAAGATTTGAGGATCAATGGCGCAAATGCCGGCAGTGCCATTAATATAGTGTGCAATCAGAAGTGTGTTTGTCAATTTACAATGGCCAAGTGTTGGAAGCAACCTAAATGCCCATCAGTAGATGATTGGATCAAAAAATTACGGTACATTTACACAATGGAATACTATGCAGCAGAAAGAAAAAAAGTACTACTACACTTCGCAACAGCATGGATGGAACTCGAGAGTATTATGCTAAGCGAAATAAGCCGGGGGGCGAAAGACAAATACCATATGATCTCACCTATAAGTGGAACCTAACCAACAATACAAAGATGCAAGGAAAATAAGACCAGCAACACTGAAAAGGAAAAGAAAGCAACAGAGACAAGAGAGAAGGAGGGAGGGGGGCGGGGGAAAAGGAAGGGAAGGGGAAAGTCAAGGAACATATAGCAAGGACTCATGGACAAAACCAAAGGGGAAGAGCTGAGGGAGGGAGGGAGGGAGGGGGCAAGGGAAAGTGGTGGGGGGTAGGCAGAGGCAAATGTATTTGAAAAAATAAATTAATTAATTTTAAAAAAGTGTGTTTGTTTTTCTTGACCCGGGAGTGGTTTTTTAAAAGTACAAGGAACTCACAATACCTGTGTGTGTGGTTGTATATGTCTGTATATTTCATGCCTTTTCTATTGTTGCAGGAAGAATTATGATCTTCCAACATTTTTGTCCTTTACAGTTGGGTTTGTCTAGAGTTTGACATTGTGATATACCGCCTTTGATAACAGGATCCAGTCAACGTTGATGTATTCAGAAATCCATTGATGTTATTAATTGTTTCCTAATAATATTTTTATTTCTTAGCTTTGTCTATTTCCTTTAGTCTCACAATTTTTGAGTCATATCTAGAATTGTCCTTTTTTAATGAGCTACTTTATTATTTTTTTTAGATTTTATTTACTTATATTTGGAGAGAGGTTGGGAGGGAGAAAGAGAGGCAGGGAAACATCAATGTGTGCTTGTCTCTCGCATGCCCCACCGGGGACTCAGCCTGCAACCCAGGCACGTGCCCTGACTGGGAATCGAACCGCTGACCCTTTGATTTGCAGGCCAGCACTCAGTCCACTGAGCCACACCAGCCAGGGCTTGAATTATTCTTTTTAGAGGTCTGAAATCATTGTGAGTATTTTTAGTTTGTAATTTGCATGATTCTTTTCATTTTCTTTGATTTCCTTTTTTGCTTGAAGAAAATGAAATTTTGAGTTATTTTTTTGAACTCTGAATGTTGTTATATGGTAACTGGCCATCTTAGTATGAATTTTTTTTATAACATGAAATATATATTTTTTTCCACCAGCACTAGGTCCAGAAGTCTTCCCATAGGTTCACACTAATATGGTTTTTATTCTTCTCAAAAGTAAAATAAAACTTTCAGATTTTACAATAACAGGAAAGTACACTAGGAAATGGCCGTAGAGGAAATATGATTGATCATTCACTCTTAATAACTGAATTGGTAACAGGATTGGCTAGTAAATACAGTCTATTGAATAAAAAAAAAAAAAGACAAGTAAAATCTTTGGAGCCTTTGAATACATTCAAAGAATTTTGGCGCATTTGGCACCTTACTGATATTTGTAACTTTTTTTTCAAGTGATTGTCTTCATTTGAAATTAGGAACTCTCATATCTAGTGATTGCTTTAATATTTGCTTTGTTTTCAACAGTGCCCTTAAAGATAGCCGTTTTCCCCCAATGACAAGGGATGAACTGCCACGGCTTTTCTGCTCAGTGTCTCTGCTCACTAACTTTGAAGATGTCTGTGATTATTTGGACTGGGAGGTAAGACTATAGAAAAATTTTAAAGAGAATGGAAGGCAACTTGTGAGTAATCGTTTAAAATTGGGCCCAGATAATAACTCTTTCAGTCCATTCTTTACTATAGTGAAAAGATAGAAAGTAACATGGATAAATAAACCCCAGAGCTGATCAGTAGGATATGAGTGAAGGGATTTCTTAAAAAGATCTTACTTAATTATTTTTAGAGAGAAGGGAAGGTAGGGAGAAAGAGAGGGAGAGAAACATGATTTGTGATCAGTTGTCTCTCGCGTGCCCCCAGCTGGGGACCTGGCCCACAACCCAGGCATGTGCCCTGACTGGGAATTGAACCGGCAACCTTTCAGTTTGCAGGAGTATTTCCTTTTTAAAGGCAAAGTGCCACCGTTGTTTTAATCCCAGACTGAAACCACTCTTCACTTTTATCCTATTACTTCCCAGAGAGTCTCATAAAAGCTGTTCATAAGCAGTAAAGGAGACTGATTGGAATTTATTTCTCCTCATACTCACATCCTCATGCCCTCTGGTGTAACTGCCATCAAGCAGTTAGGTGGTCAGAGGATACACCTAAGAGTCAAGGAGCAAGAGTTAGGATAACACACCACCTGGGGAAATACACCAACTTGTAGATAATGACAGGGGTAAGTTAATTAGCATTAAATTATGCTAATTCGTTCTTGGCCACCTTTAAGATTGTATCTTGGGTATCTGTGCATTGCCATTATCGGAGTAATCTATATTGATCATATTTTTATTCTTTAATATGTGGGGTTGGATTTTTAAAGGAAGTTCAAAGGCTCTCACCATGACTTGCTTTGGTGGTTGGCAGGAGATAGTCAAGTGTATATGTCTGTGAATTTTTACACACAGACTTGCTCACATTGAATGCCCATTGCATTTAAGGCACTGTACTACATGTACAGAAGTACTAAAATTTGGTTCCCTCCATAAAAAATCTTATAGTCGAATAGCAGAGAAAGGAGTATACACAAAGCACACAAAAAATAAGTGAATAAAAATAATAATAAATAATCTGTAAGAATAAAACTGTGGGAATTCAGTGATATACATAGCATTCTCTTGCACACACACTCCTAAGTGGCATGATTATATCATTATGCTATAACATGTTTTAATTCTACTGCCTTTTAGAGTGCCTGTCCCCCATGGTAACTGAGATATTTTTGCCTTGTGGACAGTTCACTGTCTTGATAGTTAATTGGATTTGAGTTTTATTTTTAGCTTTGTCCTGATTCCTAGTGAGACTTTGGACAACTTATTCCATTGCCATTCAGTTTTTCCACATACAAAATAAGACTTTTATAAAGTTCTTAGTCTCCATTTGAAAAACTTCTATGATATAAATTATTGTTGTTACACCAGAGGTATTTTTAAAATTCTGCAGAGAGTAGGGTGAGAGAATTCCTTCTGGGTTTGTACTAGAGTTTTTTGGAGCATTATCTGAATATGAAAGCATCTTAAAATTCTTTTGTAAAGGAAAAAAATAAAACTAGTTGATGGTGTTGATTCTAGCTAAGTTAGAACATGTAAAACCTTTTATAGAATTAAGCATTCTTAATTGATTGATTATTTTATATTTATTGTTCCTATTTGAATTTTTCTAAAAGAGAATTCTACCAATATTATAGAAATATTGCACAGTACTTATTTGTAAATGATCACAAATCATATCCCCTATTGACAAGTATTATAGTTTGAGTGGTTCTTTTACTGTTTTAAGGCTGCTCCTTGTTCTTTAGCTATTCCAGAAAGCAGAATTTTATTTCTGCTTTTTGAGTTTCAAGGTGCCATGTTGCAGCAAGGGTGGGAGTAATAACAGGGGAAAGCCTGATATCTAGGGGATGACTGAGCTCCAAAACCACTTTTATCCTTAATTGCAGCCACTGAGTTGGAAGTGCAGTTCAGATATGTGTGTGTGTGTGTGCGCGCGCGCGTGTGCATGAATGCATATTACATAAACGTGTGTGCATGTGTTTTGAGGGAAGGAACACTGGGAGAATCCAATAGTTTTTAAATAGGTACCAGCAATCAGAGTCCATCATCATCTTCTTTAGCCCTCTTCAAGCACTGTCTACAGCTAAAATTAACCTTGTTATTATTGGGTTTTTATGTTCATAAGATGTATCAGCTTTCTGATAGGAGGGTGGGAGGTCAAGCACTTAAGAATGTGTGCTCTTTCAGGGTTTATTTATACTCTCTGGTCACTACCTGCCAGTTTGAATTTCAAGAAGATTCTATATTGGTTGTACTTGGTATTGTATATTTAATATATTCCTTCAGGCTTCAATATTGGTGTCTATTTGGTGATCCTTTCCTGTTAAAGTACCAACAAAAAATACAAACTATTTTAGTACTTTAACTATATAAGCACTTGTAAGTGAATTAGGTACTGCTACAATGGCTATGCTAAAAGGAAAAGACTGTACTTTTCATTTAGTTCTCACAATTTAAAGCATTTTAGCATAAGAGAAATTTGTCCCCAAAGAATAAGGTTAAAAATTACCTTTTAAAGTACAAGAATGCGATTCGGGGTTTAAAACTGTACTGATCCACAATTGAAAATGGAACAGTACTATTGTGGAATGATGTTATAAGGGTCATCCTTACTAATTCTGAAAATGCGTTGCTACTTTAAACACAGAATGTTAAAGTTGAATTAAATGCATTTTTTTAAAAGTATATGTAAATATAATTCCAGTCCTACATATATACCCAAAAGAAATGAAAACAGATGTTGAAACAAAAACTTCTACATGGATGTTCATAGCAGCAATATTCACAAAAGCCAAAAGGTGGATACAGCCCAAATGTCTATGAACAGATTAAGAGAGAAACAAAATATGGTATATCCACACAATTTAATATTATTCAGCCATAAATAGAAATGAAGGACAGATACATGCTACAATGTGAGTGATCCTTGAAAACATAATCCAAGTTAAATAAGCCAGACAGAAAAGGCCACATACTGTATGATTCTGTTTATATGAAATATCCAGAGTGGGAGAATCCATAGAGATCAATAGCATTAATAGTGGTTTCCAGGAGATGAGGGGAAGGGGTGAATGGGAGGTGTTGCTTAATGGGTACAGGGTTTCCAATTGGGGTGATGAACAAAGTTCTGGAACTGGATGGTTGTGATGGTTATATAACATTGTGAATGTACTTGATGCCACCGAATTGTACACTTTAAAAGATTAAAATGGAAAGTTTGAGTTTATGTGTATTTTACCACAATAAAAAGGCATATATGCATATGCATAGATGTATTTAAATCTATCTTTCATGACAGTATATTCTAATTTACTGAAGATGAAACCTTAAAATGCAAAAAATATAAAGAAAGAAATGCAAGACATTCATAATTACACTGTTCTGAGATAACCACTCAACATTTTGGAATATCTCTTCCAATTATTTTTCTGTGTCTTTGTATCTATAAATCTGTGTATTTGTTTATGCAACTGAGATTATGTTGAATATACAGTCTTTATTAAAAAGAGGATTGTGGGGAAATCTTTGTTTATGGTTTATCTTTATATACAAGTTTGTCTATATTATGAAAGTACACATTTCACTTTGAGAAATGTCACACTGTCAAATGGTTACAACTTTCCTTCCAAGAATGAAATACCATGTTCATCATAAGTATCTAATTGTAAACTGAAACAAAGTGCTATATATGTTTATGCCAGAGAGGGGAATAGGAGATAATCACAGAATTTTAATAGGGAAATTTTAAGTCAAAGCTCAGTAATGAGTACGTTTTACATAAGCAGAAGACTCTAACATGGAGCTTTTTCTGGTGGAAGTACTGTTTGAGAGTTGACCCCCGCTGGCGAAGCGTGTTACTGCAATAGAATTCCTACTTAAAGAGCCAAAAACACCCAGATCAAAGCAGAGTGAGGGCAACGTCTAAAAGTCCCAAAGCATAGTCAGGTAACTTTGATGCAAAGAGAGATATCCCTGTGGTCATGAGGATGAGGGACGTGACCAGCTGTAATAGCCACCTAATTTTCAAATGATCAGCAAACAAGTGAACTGCCACAGGGCTGGCTACTATCTTACTCTGTTCTTCATCCAGGCTTTTTAGCTCAGCCTATTTTGGAACTCTGTTTTGGTAACATGTCTCTAATTTTATCACGGCACTTAGGAAAGTAGGGTTTACATCAGAGGATTTACATTTGTTTTAGAGGGTAGAATGCTTGTATTTGATAATGTAAGGAATGTATGATAAACGGTTTCATACGTGGATGTAATGAATTTCAAGTCAATGTTGAACTGACAGAATTCCATATGTTATTATTTCCTCAATACAGTAATTACCACATTGAAAGTAAGTGTCTATATGTAGCTTCTCAAGGACCCTAGGTAGTCATTAAAAACAGCAAAACCCTCCACACAAAAGGCTGCCAATTCAAATTTGAATTAGTCGTTCCCCCCTTCTGAGAATGGCTGATCACTGCCAGCACCATGATCTATTTAATTGCCCTGGTAGGTATGAGAAGAATGAAAAGTGAATGATTTGAAGGGAAAAATCATTAACTGATAAATTGAAATGTCTACCTGCAAGGCTAAAATGGTTGTTAAGTGAGCAAAATTGCCCCCCTAGGGAGAAATCTGAAGTGTTCTGCCTTGTGTTTGAACACAAAAACTTATTACCATTGTTCTGTGTTCTTCAATTGATAGCATTCTCTTAATTCTGAATGACAGGACGATTGACAGACACGGTGCTTTAAAAACAAAGAAAAGCTCAGGCAGCAGGTTGGAGTCCTCTAATATGATACATAGCCCAGAACTTGTATAGTTACGCTATTTGGGAGCCATGTCCCTTAATTTTAAAGACCCGAAAGGATAGTAAAACCAATGAGCTTATGATGGCTGGAGTTTAACTCGAGGGATGATTCTAGGTGTGTCATCTCGTAGCTACTCATTTTCAAGATGATGTAAACGAAGAAGCTTCTTGTTTGTAGAAGAACTTGCAT